AGACTTTGCTTTGCCAGCTGAAGCTATTGGATTACTTGTATCCTTCAACTAAAGGATGAAGTGTGTGGCCAGGGCAGAAAAAGGACTGGTAATATTGGCTGACATAAAAAACAGAAAGTGATGTGCTGTAAAAGTAGTGCTGCAAGGATGACAATTTAGCAGGATTGTTTACAAATGGGTATTGCTGACTGAGCAGGATTTTTAGGAATGGGTGTTACAGGTCTATATTTAAAAAAGGAAAAAGAGAATTTTAAAAGAAACAATACATTTGATCTCTCAGTATGTAGGAGAAAAGATACGACGGGCTGAGTGTGTGCCGGGGGGGGACCCTAGTAAGACTGAAACTATTCAGCACGGACAGACAAATCATCAGAAGACTGTAATCTGACCAGTCTCAGTCTCCACTTTTTCTTTTTTCTTTTTTTTCTTTAACCACTGAAAAGTTCCCTCAAAGCAGAACTTAACAGGAGGGTCTCTATACTGCTGCTCTGACCAGAGCAGGTTCTACACCAGAATAAACCTGTTGACTTCAAGGGTCGTTTTAATGGAGGTACAAATCTCAGCTCACAAGTTTAAAGAAAAGCCATACAAATGAGAATTTCTCTATCTGTAAATTCAATCCAGTGGAAGCTCATATTGAAGTGGGCAGTGCTGCTCTCTCCTGCTGTACCAGGGCAGCAGAAATATTTATAGAAATGTCCCTGCTTGAAGGGTGACATGGAGCTATGCAAGCAGTCATGGGGGTCAGTTGGGTGTAAGTTCAGTCTAGCTTTGCTCTGTATAGGACGAGGCATTGGCATGTAAAAATAATTCTCTAAATGACCAGAGGGGCCTGCTTCTTTGCCTAGCAGAAGACATTAATTAAAGCAAATGGTTACCAATATACCTAAATATGTTTCACTATTTTTAAATCTGTAGATATGCAGATATAAAACTTGTAAGGGGTGCAATCAGTTTCATATTTAGGTTCTGGAGGTTGAAATGAATACTGATTGATTGCTCCTTCTCCTGAAACTTCAGCTAATGGCTATTAACCTTGCAGAATTCAGATGAAAAAAGAAGAAATAGGAAATAGACAGACATGAATTGGAAAATGGGTTTGTCTGATAGTGAAAAATCCCATGTGGTCTGAACAGTCTTTCATGAAGTCTAGGGAATATTTCTCAAGATGTCATCTTCAAATACTACTACTCTGACTCTCCTGAAGATCTCCCTGAAATTGCCTGTTATTACTCCCATGCACAGAAAACGAAGTCCTTAGTGGTTCATGCTCTCCAGATCCTTTCAAAGAACCTTCTGCCTTATCAGTAACCTTTTCTGCACTGTCAAGAAATCTAGAGTTTCAGGCAGCTCTGAAATCTCTCAGCTCCTAATCTAAACGTAGAAGTTCATTAATCAGCAAACATGCTGGTCTGGGTTTCTTGTCAAAACAAAAGCAGACATTCTAAAACACTGATTTGTTGATGTAGGCCCAACTAACATTTCAAGAAAGAGCTGTAAAAATAGTTGGAAAATGTTTTTTCATGTTTCAGCAGCAGCAATCACCTGCTGTATCCTATGAGGAGGGCCCTATTTGAACGTTTCATTGTAAGAATGTTTTCATGGCTAAGAGACAATTAGGCTTATATGTGTAGTCTAGAAGCAGGTGCTGGTAGTTGTGTGGAGGGAGTTAGATTTTTGTAGTCTCTGACTGGATTGCACTTTGCACTTTCAGGTGGATGCCTGACACTCACAAAGTACTGGTATCTGCTCAGAGCACCTTGCTACTGTTGCCTTCCCAGACGATTGTCTTTTAAAATATGACTGGAAAGATCAAAAGCGTTATTACTGTAAAAATCACTGTGAAATTAAAAGGGATAAGAATCGGCCATTTGTGTAGCAGGTTCTTTTCATGTCTTAGCATAGACTTGCCAATTGGTTCTCTTTTCTCAGTTAGAGATGTTAACATGTGCTGCTTTTATCTCTGGATCCCTGCCCAGGTTTCTAGAGTGATTTGTGGTCATGTGAGATCTTCATTTTTGTCACTTCTTTCTCAGAGGAAGAGTGGCACTGATGGGAAATGTCTTGATATTTATAGACTGTCTCGGTGTTCTGTCTCCTGCGGTCACATAGAGGAGACAGCATGCTGTCTGTCTATTTTACACCACCCATCTCTCAGCTGGAGTTTCTCACTGTGGACTTGTTGCTGAGAATTTTTGTTTGATTTCTTTTAGATGACTTTTTTTTTTTACAAGTGCATTATATTGATCATGAGGGTCTTGTCTAGCCCTTTCTTTTGATGCATGTCTTGGGGTCCTGATTACTGAATGTTTTAGCCTGATGTGGCTGGATGGGAATGGGGATCTTTTCTATAGGATCCAGAACACCGAGCGAGGCTGGAGGCTTGATGCAAGCCTATATCTTACCCGTTATAGAAGTAGGATGCAGCTAGGGCAAGTGCCTGCAACAGGGAATTGGGGCTTGCTCCTGGATAAAGAAGATTGCTACACTTTTCAGTTATTCACCTAAGTTTCTCTGCTACATTTTCCCTAGTTATATTGGCTCATATTTTTGGCTTTAGTCAATTTTTTACTACATTATGGAAGAGGATCTCATAAACTACAGTGTAAAAATGAACACTTAGCTGCTCTTTAAATGCTCAGACTGAACTCTATTAATCTGTTGATAGTGGGAATTCAGCTCCAGAAATAAAGTTGTGAAATACTTGGCTAAAATTCTCTTGACTTCTTTGAATTTTACTTGATTCAACTGTGAGTCGCTGATAACATTCTAGAGCTTATAGTAACAACAATGGAGGTGAAATCCTGACCCTCTTGAAGCCAACAGGGAATCCTGTACCCAAGATTTCATACTAGATACCTCACTGTGATCACTCTGTCCCAAAAATGTGTCATAGTCTGGCATCTTCAGTAGAGCAGGAAATACCATGGGGATTTCTCAGACTGAAGGGACACATGGGACAGTCTTCCCCTGAAAGAGCAAAAGAGTGTGGGCAGTTGCCTAGCATTAACTCTGTTTGCTGATACTACAAAGTTGTCATAAAGGTTTGTTGGGGGAAGGTCTTGTCAAACCTAGACACTATCATGTCTGTTCCCTCCTGAATGAGAACAATTGGCAGGGCGCAGCTAAAGAACGAAACTACATTCTGCCTATCTAGTGGTTTACAGTGAAATGAAGTGGGGACAAAGCTTTCCCTCTCCTGAAAGGGTGATTGGCACCTTTGGCACTGCTGTGAGCTTGTCAGTCAGCTCAGTAAGAGCAGTGCCTTCTCTGAAGGGAATATAGACTAGTGTATTCAGATTTATTCTCCCTATGTGTGGATTTTTGGGCTTAGCCCCAAACACCTTGTATTTTTCTGCTTTATGCAAGCCCCGTACTATGAGCTGGGTCAGCAGAGATGCAGATGGTGCATCGTGGTCTGCTGCAGGTGTGGTAGCCTGTGGAAAAAGGCAGGGCAGAACACTGACAGCAGCTGTGGGTGTTGCCACAACTGATTCTGTCAGAGCTGTAAGGGAGCAAGGAACTGAACTTCAAATAAGGAATCTGATTTCATTCTTGTATTGTTTGCATGTCTGTGTAATCTTCCCATCTCTCATAGCTGTGCCCAGGAGAACGGAAAACTACTCTCAGTGTTGGGACCTGACCTGCATGAACTCTGGCTTGTGCTTCTCAAGCTGTGAATTCATCCTGAGTGAATGTACCTCTTACCTTTTGGTGCGTGGCAAACCGAAATAAGTGACACACAAGCTCTAAACAAATGCGTTTTGTTAGCTAGGCCAGTGGTATGCATAGTAAGAAGCAATGCTTGACTAACACATGCCCAGCAGACAAATTTCATCATCATTTGAATTGACTCAAACTGTAGCCTGTGCCTCTGTCTCACGGCATTTCATGCTAGCTGAGACCTGTTGAATGAACAGAATTAACTTATACAATGAATTCTTACCAAAATAAAGATAATACCAAAGCTTGTATTCAATATCTAATTAAATATTTTCCTAATGCAGTATACCCGTCTATAATATGTGAAGCCTGACTTCAGTCTCCTGGGAGCAGGTCAGTAAAGAATAGCATTACAAATATTTATTTACTTCTCTTGTCCTTACTGGCTTTATTTTAATGGTTGTGCAAAACAGCATGAAAGCTACAGGGGAGAAAAAGCCCCCCCGGGAAGCCTTTTGTATCAGGATGAATTGGAAAAACAAACTCTAGGGTGCTCATTTGCCACAAATCGCTTTTCACATCACGTGTGGAAAATGAATGAGGCGTCTGTGAATCTAATTCCTTTTGTCCTAGTTGTAAAGCAGATTAGCACAATAGGAGAGGCACAAGGCCAGCAAAGCGAGAGGTGGAAAGCAGGCACCGTTCAGTGAATTAATTTTCAGTCACTCCAGTGCAGCTTGCTCCTTTTCTTCTCTACAGATTTAAAGAACAAATAAACCCTATCGTCCCTGGGAAATGCCTCTAACTGCTGCTGCTGAAGTCTCACTAAGCACGGTGGCAAAGGCAGAGAGCACAAATCCTTCCCACTGTCACCCTGGGTCTCTTGTCACCCCAAGTGGGAGGACAGAAAGCCCATCACCCACAGCCTCACCACACATTAGGAAAACGGCAGATCAGTGCATTTGAAGAGTTTGCGCCATCCCAGGGGTTAAAAAAGATAAAGATCTAGGGTCTTCCTCTTTTTTTTAACCTTAAAGATAAAAATACTAGTCATCTCCTTCATGCTGAACTGGATTTTTGACAGCTGTTTATTATTCTGAATTAGGTTACATTATTTTCCCATCATTATCTTCTATCTCAATGTGGTTAGATTTGTGAGTGTATGTCAGCCATACCCACTGTATTTGAAGGACTGAAAGTATTCTAGCTGCAAACCCCAGTACTGGCTTGGGAGTGTAACCCTTCCATTCATTGTCTGGCTTATGCAGCTCTCACTGCCTAACAACAACTTTGTTGCCCACCTAAAAGGAAAGTGGAAATTTAAAAAAAAATCTCACCACAGCTTTTGTAATTTATTTCCAAGTTGTCCTCTTTGCAGACAGTGTGCGTAGACCATTCTGTGCTGGCATTGGTGTAAAGCAGGACTAAGGTGAGAACGAGAACATTTGACGTCTTCATGGTGGTGGTAGATTGCAGGATTACTTCTCTGTGTCTCGCTAGCCCTCTGTAGAGGGAGGTGTTCCTTCCTTGCTCCAAGGGAGACAGGAGTTGCTACATTAGCAGAAGGGTTAAGTGAGCCAATGCAGCCTTAGCTTACTACAATGTGGTATAAACAAGAGGCTAATCAGGATTGGAGGATGATATTTCCGTGTGCTTAGACTTCTGCTTTCTGCTTTGTGTTAGTTTAAACTGATGACAAATGAGCTGATCGCACCTTCTCACTGCATGGTATAGCCCTGCCTCGGTGCCTGCAGGAACAATGCAGCAAAGTGTTTGGTTTTTCTCTCACTGCCAGTTTCTTCTCTTGTAGCTGAAGCATTTGGGTCAAGACTTCAGACAGGCTTGTTTTGCAGCCAGAACAGCTAAATATTGCGATCCAAATCGCCCCATCTTCATCACACAGTCAGACCAAATTTTGCAAGGAGGACAGTTTGGTTTCTATGTTGTTCTTAGTTACTAATCTGTCTGCTGGAGGGAAGGGAGGTGTGTCTGATATAGCTGACACCAAATAAGCAAGTCTTGAAACTTTTATGAATGAATCCTTTCCGCTTGACCATGCTAAATACTACATTTCTGTTCATTTTGTTCAGTAGTTCTTTGGGTATACTGTTCAATAGTACATTCCTATCAGGTAAACCTAGACTTAATTTTTTTCCTTCTGTCTTCCTGGTTATTTAAATGCCCGTTAGTCATGCTGTGCACTTGTTATTCACACCAGCTTGAGATCCAGGGTTGGAATAGATTTTCAAACTGCACTTGCCAAAAAGATCTTTCCACCTTTTGGACAGAGCATGAACCAGAAAAAAGCTACAACCTAATTTCAGTCCTAAAGCAAATGTCTGCAACAGTCTTCTGTCATGCTACAGAGCCAATTTTGCCTTGTCTTCAGCCTGGAGGTTTGGATAAAAGATCACTTTGGCCATCTTAGTTTTTCTTACTCTGAAGGCGGCAAGAATCATTTGCTCTGTTGCTGAGTGAGGTTGAAGAGGGGAAAGCCTACGCACTTTGGGGAACAGGAGCGCACCTAACAAGATAATTGCTTGTCCTGGGTTCGGCCAGGACAGGGTTAATTTTCCCTGGAATCCAGGAAGGGACATAGCCGGGCGAGCTGACCCAACCTGGCCAAACAGAGCAGAGTATTCCATACCATGTGCTGTCATGCTGGGTTCCGGTGGGGGGGAGCGGAGCGGTGGGAACTCACTCGCGGCTTGGGAGCATGCAGCGGCGGTGGTTCAGGAGAGCGGCTCAGTTTTTCTGGTTTGTTTTGTGTATTCCCCTTTTCTGTATCATTGTTGTTCCTGTTCCCTTTGTTTGCTGCTCTGTTAAACTACCCTCATCCCGACCCACCAGTTTCTGCGTGTTTCTTTCCATTCTCCTCCACACCCTGGTGAGGGGAGGGGCGGCCACGTGGCGCTTTTGTTGCTGGCCGCAGCCATACCATAACATTAGAAAACAATGCTAAACAGTAGAGCTGTTCCTCAGGCAGAATCCTGACCTGAATGAAGGTAATAAAAGTAATCCCATAGACTAAGGAGGGGGCCAAGATTTCAACTATGATGTGTTACAGTTAAAAGCCAATTCAATGCAATCCAAGAGACCTTGCTTTGATTAGTGAGGCTCAGGCTTGCTTCATGCTTTGGGATACTATTGTAATGGTAAATTATATGTCCAGGTCCAGAGTGAGAATGCAGGCAACTGCCCTTAGGCATGGAACGTGTACGAGTCACGTAAAGAGGTTTGGGTTACAGATTTTTCTGGTTTGACTGGACTTTGGTTGTACCCAGCTGATAGCTGACAAATTCAAGTGCAATTGCAAAGGGAATAGTAAGGTGAGACAATGTCTGCGATTACTGTAATGCATTTAAAATAGAATCATATAGAGTAGAAGTCCCTTCCCACTAAGGTCTACAAAGACAGTGAAAATTGGATATAACATAAACTCCATATTTTTTCTAGGAATGACATCATCATGGTCCTTCATTTAAAATGTCAGCTTAATGCTCAATAACAACGAACAAAGCAAACTGAATGACAGGGCAAATGCTTCAAAGAGAGACCCACTGGAGATCACTAAATAAACTAAATAAGGCTCAGGACCTCTCCTGAGATGAAAGTCATTGGAAGCTGGGAAAATTCATGGGACAAATACCATACATGCTTGTCCTGTTCTTACTCTTCCCTGCATACCTACTTGTCCACTCTGCTGGGAACAGTTAAATGGAGCCTTGGTCTAGACTAGAATTATTTATTTGGGCACTGGTCTTGTTCTTTGCCTCCCCTTCCCTCTGCACACCCCATCCTGTTGGAACAGCATTGCCGGTGCTCACGGCTTTCAAAGTGCTGACTCAAAGCAGTCTTTTGTCTTAGCAGAAGCCCTCTGGTAGCTGCTCTGCAGATATCCATGAGCCTGGGCCTTGCCTTGCAAAGATTTCAGTCTAAGCACAAGGAGACAGCTTGGGAAAGTGGAACAGCACTGGACTTTGGGGATACAAGTTTCTTGTTTCCCTGAAAGCAGGATGGCTGGGGTAGATCACCTAGCAAATACAATTTTGTAGATGAGCTCAGGAGCTCTGCTATACACAAGCAAGTGCCTACACCATTTCCCCATCTGGTGCGTAGACTGTCTCTTGCTCTGTTGAGAAAGCTACTTCATCCTCTTTTTTGGCAGTGCTCCTGACACTGACTCAAAATGACAAGTCACAAGATTTTTTTTTTTTTTTGTGATGTGAGGTTGGAATGTGTGTCTCAAGTAGGTTGTAATGTTCTAAGAGGAAACAGCCATGAAAGCTAATGTTTTGGAAAGCTGTGCTGACACTTCCACTTTGCCCCCACTGCGTTGTTCTCAGTGGGAAGGGAATTTTCGGTTCAAATTTACAACATGTACTCCAGACACAGTTTCACCATTTTGTTCCCTGTGTAATCCTTGTATCTCCTAGAAAGCACTTTATTACCAACTCTATCTGTTCTGAGAACTGCTTTCCCTTCAAACAGCGAAAGCCTGTGGGAGGAGAAACTACATCTAAATGAAGTGGTATCGATGCTGGCAGTGAGAATTCTGTTTTGGCAGGGTGCTTAGCTGGCTAATAAGCGTGTTTGTGTATCTGTTTGATCGAAGGCTTTGATCATGGAGATAAACAGCTCAAAAATGCCTGTAAAGAAAACTATTTACTTAGAGGGGCAGTGACTTCATGTATCTAGAGCACTCTTCACCTTGTTTGGATGCTTCTGCAGTATTAAAGCGTAGAAAAGCCTCTTGTAATAATCTCCTTGATAAGGAACATCTGTAATAGAACTGGGAAGAGTAAAAGATACAAAGATAGCAGAGTAGTAGTAGGCTAGATAAATCTTACATCAATGTCTAACTTCTTGGGTTGGCTGATACAAGACTGCTAATCTAACTGTATCAGCAAATCACATGCCCACCCACCCCACCAAGCAGCTTATACCACTTGACTCTCATAACTGTAACCAACAGTCAGTACCAGCTTCTTGGACAAAGTATAGCAATAAAGAGGGTTGGGTTTTTTGGGTTTTCATTTTTTTATTCCTTCTTACTTCGGGATCCAATTCTCCTCTTTTAAATTGCAGTCAATACTGAGTCATAACTGATTTAAGACAGCAACATCTATTGATCAAATGACGTACTATTAAGTAGCCTAATTACAGACATACTATTAATAGATACACTGTTACCATTAATTTACAATTGTATCATTTTGCACAGTTACAACCAAGTATAAAACTAATTCTCATTCTCAGATCTTATAAATCACACCCAACTATTATAATTCTGCCTTCCTTCCCACCCAAACTACTTGGTACCAGAGTGCAAGTGTGTCCCTCTTCACTCACCCCCACTGAGTCTTTCAGGCACAGGGCTGATGGAGATTCACGTGGGTTGTGCGCAGGGATTCTGTCAGTGTCCTGGTGGGCTTGGGTGCACAGGTAGCTTCAGTGCTGTTTGTAGGTGCCTGCACTCTTAAAAGATTCCACCCTCCTTTTTCTTTACCTGATTTTATGTCTTATTCCTCCTTTTTTCTTCCTGTTGTTCTGCAAACAAGCAATTAATCTCTTTTTTTTTCTTCTCATTTGTCTCAATTCTGCTACATCTGTACTCAAATTTGATGTTTCCAACACCTTTACTCAGGCGATGTTGGCCTTATGGGGTATCACCGATACAGTTGCTGAGACACAGGCAGCCTCCTAAGACTGTATTCCAAAATTCCCCCTACAACTATCTGTTTCATACTGGCAATGCTTTTTTGGGGGGGATTTTGTACACTCATAAAGCAAATTATTCTACTTCAACCTGGATTCCTCTGCCTACCTCCAACTAATGCATGTAGTTTCGTATATGAGGTGCAGCCTGCATACCAGAGCAACAAAGCTACGTGTTTTCATGTTCTGTTTTGTGCTCACACAGCATCCTAGCCCTTGAATTGTTGTAATTACTCTCTGGGTTCCCTGCAGAGGTGTAGCTAGTCATGAGGTCTGGTGCTCCAGCAGGGCCTCTTGCTCACATTCATACAACTGTGTCTAAGCTATGACTTCTGCCAAAATAGTTATGGGTACATTGTTTTTCCTGTGTTCCTAGCAATGTAGCTGCGTTTGCAAAACTTTTTCAGATGTAGACCTGAATAGTGCTTCACATGATCTCAGCAATGAGGTTTCCTCTTAGGAGTTTTTTATTTAAAGCCTTTTTTTTTCCCTCTATTTTGCAAGTCTGGTATAAGGTGAGTCCTAACCAAATTTTAAGTTCTTTCTCTCAAGCCATAATGTCTTTTTTTCTTGCCTTTGATGTCTTTATGTATGCCTGTATCATACAATGAAATATTTCCACAGAAAAAGCTTCACGTTAAAAGCTTCACTGATTTATCTTCCTTTTTCTTGTGATTCTCTCTGAATAAAAGGTTTCTGCTTCATATTTCTCAGCATGGGTCTCCTGCTAGTAGAAGACA